AACTGTGGAATACAATGAATACATTTATTATTGAAAATTACAAACAAAAACTAATGTATATACATAATACATACAATGGACAACTAAAATATTTACACAGTACAGAATAAAAATAAAACTATTACAAAGTAATAATGACACTGTATTCCTTAGTAAAGATTTCCAACAATATTTGGATTCACAAGGAACAAAACAAAGATTAACAGTATATTATACTCTACAACAGAACAGAATAGTGGAACAAACCTATAAAACTATATTTAGAGGTGTAAGAGCATATCTAACATCTACTAAACTACCATTCTCATTATGGGCTGAAGTAGCAATTCATATTACTTATATTCATAATAGAATACTGTGTACTGTATTAAATTATAACACTCTATATTACAAACATTACAGAACCTACAGAACAATTAATAATATACACAAATTCAGTCAATATATTATCATTTACAACAAAAATCCTACAAAAATACAATAGTGAGGTATAATTGCTTGTTAGGTAGGATTAGACAATGAAAGTAAAGGTTATAAAACTTGGCACAATAATAAAATTACTATCAAACAAAATATTCAATTTCTTGAAGGTAAACCTCCTCAAGTTGAAGGGGAGAAAATAGATGATACAAACAATAATACAAACACGTGTTTAATAATTAAAAATACTGAAACAGACAACAGAATAATGAGAACAGACAACAATAATACAAACAATACTAATCCTAATAAAAAGGGAAAAGTGGTAGAACTAATAGTTATAACAGAAGATAAAGTTAAATTAACCAAAAACAAAGCAGAACCTAAATTATGTTGATTGGAACAGATACAGAAACTGACAGAATGTACTATTGAGCTTGAGCAATGTATGTAGAATAAATGTGTAACAAAACATATATACACACTTAGTAAAAAGAATAAAGATAATATTACTATTCATTTAACAGAATTTAATACTAAAATAAGTGAAATACAATTGGATTTGACTTCATTTTATGAAGCAATTCAATGTTCAGACTGTGATTTATAGATACAAGCTATGAAAGACAAAATAAAACAATTAGAAAATCATAATACACTGACAATAGTATTGAAAAATACAAAGCACAATTAGTAGTTCAAGGAAACTATCAGATTGACAGCCTTGACTATCATACAAACAATTTATTTGCTCCTACTGTTAGACTATCTATAGTGTAATTAATATTAGTATAGGTAGTATCTAATAATTAAGAAATACATTAGATAGATATTAAATCAGCATATCTATATGGACAATTAACAGAAGACAAAGAAATATATGTTAAACCTCCTCCAGGTAACTTAATAAACAGATTACAGAATGGACAAATATTACAATTACAAAAAGTATTATACAGATTAAAACAAGCTAGTAGAAGATAGTATAAAACACTATCTAATATACTACTTAAGTGTGGATTAACAAAATCCAAACATGATAATGCTATATTCCTTACAAAGAAGAAAGAAATAACTGTAGCCATATTATTTGTACATGTCAACAATATTACTATTGTAGTAATAAACAATAATACTATTGTAATAATAAAACAATCTATTACACATTACTTACAATATACAGACAGTAGAGAATTACATTGGCTACTTAGTATAGAGATTCAATGTAACAGAGAGTATAGATTCATTAGGATGCATCAGACACATTATATTAATAGTATAATCAAATGTTACAAACTTACAAATAAACAGAGTATACAAACACTCATACAACCAGGTATACAATTAAAAACAGTATTACAAACTGATACTGATAGAAAACAAATGTCTGAAATACTATACATGAACATAGTTAGTACACTTAAATACATTGTAGACTGTACATAGCCAGATATAGCATTTGTAACAAATTAGTTAGCAAAATACCTTAATAACCCTAGTATAGAGTATTATCTAGCACTTAAGCACTGTTACATGTACTTAAAAACTACAAATAATGTCTGGCTCTAACTTAGCAGTACAAATCAATTAATATTGAACAGATATACAGACACAGACAGTATGATGCAAAAAGGACATTGTGTAATATCAGGATATGCATTTTACTTGAGCAATTCATTAGCTTTGTAGTCAAGTAAAAGACAAACACTAGTAGCAAATTCAATGTATAAAGCTGAATTAATAGCTCTTGCAAGAGGAACACAAGAAGCAATTACACTTACCCATTTAGCTGAAGAGATTCTGCAGGTCTCTGAAGCACCAATTAATATTTATTATAATAATGACACTGTCATACAAACAGTTACATTAGACAAACTCAAATACTTGGAACAGACAAAGTATTTAGATTATAAGAAAGATTTTATTAAATACTATATTGAATTAGAGTACATAAATGCAAAATACATACAGACAAACAATCAAAGAGCAGATATATTAACAAAAGCACTATATGTACTACAAGTCAAACATCTTACCAGTTTACTCAGACTAGTAAGAGTTTGAAGGGGAGTATCACAAGATGATGACTTTATTACAAGACAATGACTTCATAATGTCTCAGGTAGAACATCAGGAAAAAGTCGCATTTCTTATAATATATTGTAGACTTTGTAAAGTAGCATAAGTATTGTATGTATATTATAAAGTAATTACAAGACTTGCAAATCAATTGTAAAGGTTGTATAAGACATGTTAATGTATATAAAGGCTAAGTAAGTGTTATGGATGAATACAATCTATTACAAGTGTTATACTAACCTTGTATAATAGCTTAAAGTATTATACTTGCATTACATTTTTATTATAATTTCGAAGAAAGGGTAATATTTACAATATAATAATAATGTTGTTGTTGTTGTTGTCTTATAATTTATACAAAAGGTATATTAATGTATATAATAGTGTAAGAGCACTTGTTGTATCATTATTATCTTAATAAAAGTATACTACAAGTATATAATATGTATATTATACTTAGACTATCTATACAAATAGTTTACAATATTTGTAAAAGTTATTTTATCTACTTGTAATAATTACACTAGTGTGTTTAGAAAGCTATATACATGTCATATTGATTTTTACTATATTACAAAGTAGATCAATAATTTTATTTTGTACCTAAATACAATAATTGAAATGTTCTATCAGTTGACAACTCATATTATAGTTGCTTATGTAATCAACTGCTGAAGATCGAAAGCATATAATGACGCATTTCTCTTTGTCACTCCTTTACCTCCTACCTTCACCATCTCCCCAACCCTCTGCCCCCAACACTATGTTGTTGCTTCTGTTCTCTCTAGTCAAGGCCTCTGCTTACAAGCGTCCTACCAGCAGACACACTGCCTGCAACCACCTAGACAATAAACATCACTGCATTTGTCTCTCCAATCTGCTGTTGCGATGCCCGCGCTGAGCCTCAGATCCCGCGCTGATGCCACCGAGTTGACTACACCGTCCTTCAACATAAAGCGTAAGCAGCCAGTCCACTTCATAATAGCCTGCACAATAGTTGCTCATCCCTCTCCTCCCAACTTTTTGTCTTTCATTCCTCCCATCCCTCCCACTCCTTGCTCCGCCGCTTGCGTTGCCTCTCCTCCGTTGTCCTTCTTGTTTACGCTCGCCTTCCTTTTTTGCATTCGCATCCACGCATCCGCATTGTTGACCAATGCTGAACGAATTCTTCAATAATTCCATGCATTCTTCTCGCTCTGCAGCGCAAGCAGCAATCGACAAGCACACGCCCGCGACAATATCCATGTACGACCACTCCCAAGGGGTAATCCTCTCTCCGGGGGTCGCACCCGCACGCACTCTCCTTCCCCACCCTCCATTCCATGCTTGTCAACACCCTCGATGGACTCCCACTGCGTGCATTTACAATCCCCAGTGTCCATGACACCATTTCGAATAACGGAAGCAGCAGCCACTGCTCACACCTGTCCAAGTTGAGTCCGTCAACGGCTTCCACTTTGCCATCTCCCTTTGTTCCAGAACGTCCCAGAGATACGCCCTTACAATCCAAGGCTCAGTTCACGGTACCTCCTATTGGACGCCGTTTATAGACAATAGAGTGCACACACACAGACACGATTTTGTCTGCAGTCCGAATCAGCTCGTTCAACGCTCCGGATCTCGATCTGCATGCACCACTCACACTCGCTGCACACCGTCACGGTCCGTCCATCTTTTCTTGCTTGTTGCCACTCGCTAATCACTCTGGACCTGTCTCACAGGTGCAGCTCTCCCTTTAGGCCAGAACGCCCCGGGAATACACCCCTCAGTCAACAGTTTAGTTCACTGCACCTCTGATTGTGAGACGTAGTCAGAGTATGCAGCATACACATACAGGTGCAGCTTCGCCTGCGGCTCAAATTAGCTCATTCAACACTCCGGATCTCAACCCTAGTGCACCACTCACACTCGCTACATGCCATTGCGGTGTATCTATCTCCTCAATCCAGTTACCTACTCATGCTGACAACACTCATGCCCACACTCTTAGTTAATCAATCTCACAACCTGTCTTGCCCCTAATTGCTGTAGATTAAAATGTATTTATATAATGTTTCAATATAATTATAAACTGTTATTTCAATAACAAACGGATATAAGGAAAAATAGCTATTGGAAAGATATTAAAACAATTTAAGAGCTTTATAAACAATTATAATATTTGCCATAATCAACAAGGGTGATTTAACCTTGTAATTTCAGAGATCCATTATAATACATTTTATATATTGTCAAGGAGAAAAGTCCTTATTTACATTTATAAAATGGACAAACCTTTCAGACTTTATAACGAATTGTAGTACTTTCTCAGAAACTGAGATCCATTCTAAGTGTTTTTACTTTTTTTATTTTTTCACTTATTTTATACTATTATAAGGTAATACAAGAATTTAGACTTTTTCCCAATGAATACATGCAATATAACAACAAGAGACACTGAGCAGTCAATGGTCACCTACACCTCTTGTTCTTGTGTGCCTACTCTCTTCCAAGGCTCATAACCTGTGAAGAGAGTAGGTATGCAAGAACAAGGGGTGTAGGTGACGATTGACTGCTCAGTGTCTCTCATTGTTATATTACATGTATTCTACCTGAGACATTATGAAGTCATTGTCTCGTGATACAGTAAATACATTTGCATTTCAGTGATTATTCAACACAGCTATATATACTTTTTTTTTCCGATGTAAGCGATACGTTATGACCTAAGAGTGTGAATGAGCTTGAATGTAGATTTGGGATGTCAATTATGCAGTAATATAGCATTGGTCAAATATATTGCAAGCCCCGTACCCCATGCAATGCTTGTGGCAGAACCAAACCCGGAATAATTTTGGATTTATCGATCTTTTGCTGTTTCTGATACTTAGTTATTCTGACTCAGCTCCTGCAATGGACTCTAAAGTTCGGATACACGAGTGACAATAATAGATGTCTCATACACAAAACAAGCGATTTATTCCTATTCCCTATTTTGGTATGTCATTCTCAGCGTGCGGCTTATTACAGTAACGGGCTGTCTGACCCATCCCAGACTGCTCACATCTCTGCACGTCCACTCTCCGCATCCCAGACTGTTGGCAATATTCATCTCGGCATAGATGGAGCCTCTGAAAGGGTATCTCCTAAAAGCTGGTGCTGGGCCAGTTATGCCAAACAATACCGACTCGGATAATAGCTTGGCTTCTTTATACCTCATCGCTTGGAAAGTCAGGGATCCGGAAGGCGTCTTTCACAAATTCCCAATTACTCGTGACGACGTTGCCAATCGTGTGCCGCTATCCTTACCCAATTCAGTCACTGTCCTGTCATGGACCGTTGAAGATTCTATTCCAGATATTTTGGAAGCCATCTTTACATGCTCTGCAATTTACATCAGGGACGAGTACACGGTCATGTTGTCTGCACTCTTCAAGGCTCTCCATGAATCTGGAGGCGATGCGTTTGGATATCATCGAATCGATGTCAGAACACTCCAAGATAAGTATCCGCCTGTCAACCCATTCAAGGAACTGCAGGTCCAGAAGGTTCTCTGGGCCAAAGCGCCTTGCATTGTTGTCACCGGAACACCAGGAATTGGTGAGTCGCTTTCAAGGTTGCTGTCTGTGTATGTACATCATTTTATCATTTTTGCAGGGAAGAGCTTATTCCTGTACTACATTCTCGCCTTGCGTCTCCTCGCGCAGAAGTCAACTGTCTTGCTTTATAGGAAAGGACGTTGCCTTATTTTCCATGAGTGTGGAGTATATTCCATGACACTTGATCAACTGGAAACTGTGGTTGGTCTCTTGCCAATGGAAACTTGGTTTTTGGTCGATAGCAATGAAGACGTCGGTCCCGCACCTCATTTCCTTTTCAAGAGCTGCAGGACAACTCCTCGGCTCATTGTTGTCGCAACGTCACCAAGGTCAGAACGGATGACGTTTAGAGAGGACTTACAATCTCCTCGACTTTGGATGCATCCTTTCAAAGAGAAGGAGCTCTACGAAGCGTAAGTTGCCGATTCTTGCTATAATTTTTATAATGGCTACTTACTATGAGTTCTACAGGATGGGTACACAGGTCAGACGGTGGAAAGAAATACAGCTAAGAGCATTTTACGAGAAATTCGGCCCCATGGCGCGTGAAGCATTCGTTTTTGCTGGAATCCCGGATCGGTACTTAAGGGTCATTCAAGAGAAGCTTGGTCCTGCTTCATCACAAAACCTTCGAAATGGAATTGGCCAGGTGCCCTATGGTTATTTCGAAACCTCTTTATCCCACAAAGTGCTTGTTGCGTACCCTACGGATGACAGTGATCGTACTGAATTCAATGTCGCGATCCCGACAAGAAAGCTCGCAGATTTAACCATTAGTCGCCTTTTGGAGGAGGAGAACAAGCAAGAAGCTAGAGCGATCTGTACCTTATTCCTACTAAACCAGAAGACAAGGGCCATTGCTGGCCATCTGCTGGAGTCATTTGCCTTAAGGGTATTTCCGGACGGTGGTCAATGGGGCATGACAAAGATGGATAGAACTGACGCACCACCAAAAAATTCTCACTGGAAACGCAACCCTGCAGGCGAGGAGCACGTCCTTCACATCGGACACAAGGGTGTATTTTTGCAGATACTTCAGGATGACCCTGATGCATTGGCCTCGGGAACCTTTGTTCCCGTGGGTTATCGTTATTTTAAAAAAGATAGTCCGCCGCCACAGGAGATCGGGTTTTATACACCAGTTGCAGCAAATCAGCCTACCTTCGGCGCGGTTGCACGTGTCAACGACGCAGCCAAGCCTTTTGTCATTTTCCAAATGACGTGCGCTAAAACCCATAAACTTAACTCCATTGGCCTGAACTGGCTGGGACAAGGTAAAGTGGACGTCATAGTTGTCACAAGCTGGGATGGTGGAGAGGATATAGAGGTGCCTGAGCAGATAGCAGATAAAGTGGCAGATGTATATCGTTTAGTTTTGTTTCCAAGGCCCTGAAAGTCCCCTCAGCTGATAATGCTGCTGCAATTATCACCTGTGCATCAGAAATTCAGATAGTAATTGATTGTACATGAAAAAATTTGGACGAAAATAGCGTCGGGCATGTGAGGTTCATAGCAACACAGAAAGAACAGACTCAGAATCAGGTGGTGCTTGGCTGGCTGCAGGCGTTTGTGCGTGAGTGGTCAAAACGAACGTGAACCTACCAGTATGCGCCTCTCATCAAGACTCAATTTCGGAACCACTGCTCTCAGGCCCTCGTCTTGAGAACTGAACGTGACAGGATCTTCCCAAAATATTCTTACCTGCTTTTAAAGGCTTGAGATTTTTCTTTAGTCTAATTGTAAGCATAAAGATAACATACTGAAATTTCACATACTGTGGACATGCTAGCCATGTTTCCTTCTCTGCGTGAGTGGACTGTGATGTCAACTCAGAATTTGGTGAGACCGAGAATTTGAGTGTGTAGCTGGTTAGTAATATATCTATGCTAGTCTTATAGGAGGGAAAAGCTGCTTCTTTACAGTCACCTACTACTAGTACCATATTACAGCACATCCCGCCTTCAACAAAAGACGCACCATGTATGCTTTGATCATTTCAATTGACGTGTCTTATGTAATTGTACCAGAGCTTGTCTGATAGGTACCTCCGAAAAGGCCGTCATACTGATGGCTGATGCGTCTTTTTTGGCCCAAATGCGTAAAATGAGGACCATTGCACTGGGTAACCAAAACCCTCCTTGAATTTTAAGTGGGCATCACTACTTTTATCTCAGCCAAAGCGTCGAATGTGGCCGTGTAATGGCCATTGTAACGACAAATAGCGGCATTTGCAACTCCAAACCGCAAAACTCATTCACTTGCAGTGACTACCATCGTCCCACCTCTCGATCCATCAATCTCCAATTGGTATGTACGGTCACATAGTCTTCGAGTCATAAATCTAACTGGATTTGTAGAAAGATATTACTTTCAAATGACGAACTTGCCTGATTCTCCATCGTCTCGTCGTTCTCGTTCGGAGCATGGAAGTCCAGGAGACAAACCTAGAATTAACAATGTCCCTCTCGATGTTCTGTGCGAAATTTTCACTCACGCCGCATATATATCACGGAGTGATGCATCGAATGAGGACCCTATGAACGCGCCTTTTAGGGAAGCCATGTTGTTGCCACTGAGGCTTTCGCAAGTCTGCTGGTTATGGCGCGAAATGGCCTTAACAGTTCCATCTGTATGGACAAACATAAATGTTCTCGTCGATGGAACTGGCAGCAAGGACGGGGACGAGCGGCTCATTGAAACTATCAACACTTGGATAAAGAGATCCAAGACACTGCCGCTTCATATATCGGTTACGAGCAATACATACAAACTAGCGAAAGAGAAACTTGACACCGCGTCATGCATTCTAACACGACTACTTGAAGAGCGGAAACGCTGGCGAGAAGCATATTTCTCCTTCATAGAGGGTGATCCTACTAGGTTGCTGCTTCTTCAGCTGACCGATGTGCCTCTCTTGGAGAAACTCACGGTACGGTGGAAAGGGACCGATACACGTGAACCGAGTGGCATAAACCTTCTGATTGAAAGGCCTCAGAGACTGAGATCTCTGTTACTTGAAGGCGTTCCTTATCTTCAGACAATGCGACTTGATGCCCTGACGGAGCTGTTTTTATATGGTATGGTGGTCATGGTCTCGCGAGATGATTATTCGGAAATGCTCAACAACATCCCGCACTTGGAAACTCTCAAGGTACAGTGCATGGTGGGCTCTTTAGATCCATCCGATGTTCAGAATGGCTTGCAACCCCATATAACTTTGAGGAAGCTTCACACGTTAATGGTCGACAGGACGGATGTTTCCGCGTACATCATGAGCAGACTGTCTGTCCCAGCATTGAAATGCCTCATTTGCCACTCTTTCCCCAAGGATCACGCTGGAATACTTTATAATATGATTGAACGATCCAGGCCTCCATTGGAACACCTGGAGATATCTGGTGCCGTCGTCAAACCTGACTTGCTCGACCCCCTACTTCTAAGCTTTCCGAAGCTAAGAACTCTCTGTCTAATGTTCTGCCTCATTACACCCACGGTCTTCGACGCCCTGTTGCCAATTAACCCAAGAAACAGTAACAGATATCTGTGCCCTAAACTCAGGAAGATCAGTGTAGAAAATCCTTGTTGGGATGAAACACGACGGCCTGTCGATTCGGATGGTGGATACTTTGATTTGTTTTTTTACGATTCGCTCAAGATACGTTGCATGGACTTTGGCCTGGTAGCAGTCATAAAATGTCTCCCGAAAGAGCCTGATTCTGATGGTAATCATGGAACCATGCGCTTCGTTGTCCCGTTCATCCCGTTGGATGACTTGCATCTGGAAGAGAAGGGACGGATGCGTAAGGCCATTGCCGAGGCAGGCACATTTGACATTCGATTCGAGAGTTCGTTGAGTCGGCGTTGACTGTACAAGACTAACACCGTGAAACTAATTACTGCCTTTTTCATAAGTATTGTCACACTTGATGATTCATTATTTTTTGTCACAA